GCTATTTGAGCTAGTTGAAACTTGAAACTTGATTCGCCATTTGTAACCTGTAAAGAAGGAAAATAAAATGTAGCAATATATTTGTTAGTGATGCAATATACTAGTTTGATGTTTGAATTTTATAAATTTATCTATATATAATAATAATATTAAAAAAATCAAGCCGTGTTGCCGTGTCCTATTTTTTTTTGGGTTTTGCCGTGTCCGTGTCGTGTCTGTGTCGCCGTGTCCGTGCTTCATAGACGGCCATAGGTCAATTTCGCAATAGACAAAATGATATACGCGATAGAAGATTTAACGAGAAACATCATTTTACGCAGACCAGTAGATCATAAAAGCTAAAACAGGAGGAAGAAAAGGTATGAAATCTTGGCAGTCTGCCCGATGATTGTTCTCCGATGATTGTTCACCATTTTTCCATTTAACATCATTTCCCTCTCAACCCTACTGTTCAAATGTAAGCAATGCGAGCCCATACAATGTCCCTCTCTAATTTAATTGAAAGCATATCGTTTAGCAGTCTATGAACAACACGTGAGATGAAAATTTGTGTAAACATCTGTAATCACTTTGATAAATTTCTATTACCAACAAAAATCACGAGGCATGCCCCGAGTTCCCAGTCGATTTTCTACTTAATTTCAAATATGTAGCCGGAAAAGGAGCGAAATTCTAGGGTTTCATCACGCACTCCACTCAACCAAACCCTAATTCAACAGCCGAATCCAGTTCAAGAAGCATAAATAAACCAATCAAACGAGAAATTTAACGTTTTTTGTTGGATTTTCTAGGGTTTCATCACGCACTCCACTCAATCAAACGAGAAATTCAACAGCCGAAAAAATCCAACAAAAGGGAGAGAAATTTAACCTGTGATCGGCGCTCTCGACCGCTGCTCGAATAATTTCCCTCAATCGAGCCAAATCGACCTCAAAACAAGGAAAAACGCGAAGGGAATTTTAAAAAATAAAACTTTCGTAATCGATCGAAGGGTTGACGAAAGAGGGAACCGGCGGCCGATCTGAGCCGGAGCGGACGGCAACCGCTTCCCCCGGTCCTCCATCCACAGAACCGGTCCAACCCCCAAGTTGACCGGCTATAGCCAGTTGGCTGGGTCCTCGTCCAGTGAATCTGGTCCTCTAGCTCACCGGTTTAGCCGGTCAGACCCCTCGATCCTCGCCCTATCTATAAATACTAAACCGAACCGCATTTTTTTTTTTGGTTTCGGGGGAAAAAAATCAGAGGAGGGTGGGGGGAGACGCGTCGCGTTTCTGGGGGAAAAAACCGGGTAAAGTTCGCTTCCTTATTTTGAGTTCAAGTAACTGAAAACGGGTCGGGTTCGGGTCTGTAAATAGTTAAATTGAGCTTTTAACCATTCTATTTTATATAAGATTCTGGTTTTGATTAGAAATAGGAAAGCTTCAACCAATTGAGCTTTTAACCATTCTATTTTATATAAGATTCTGGTTTTGATTAGAAATAGGAAAGCTTCAACCAACCAGCTTTATTTCGTCAATTGGAAGTTGGAAGGGAAAATTTGCAAAATAGACCATTTTTATGAAATATATAGTGAAATAAACCACTTTGAAAAATAATTAGCAAAATAGACCTCTTTTGAAAAAAGAGGTCGGTTTTGAAAAACAAGGCTCAGAAAACATGTGGGACTACTAGTCATGTATGTTTAGAGCTAACTAATCACGGATTAGTCTCAGAAAACATACGGGACTAGTAGTCCCGTATGTTTTCTGAGTAGAAAATTTCATTAATCCGTGATTAGAACATACGGGACTACTAGTCCCGTATGTTTTCTGAGCTGTTTTGTAAAATAGATCTCTTTTTGGCATGTTGGCCAAAAAGATGTCTATTTTGCTAATTATTTAGCAAAACGGTCTATTTTGCTAAATAATTAGCAAAAACGGTCTATTTTGCAATTTTTCCCGAGTTGGAACTTTTGTTTGAAGTGGAGTAGTTACGGTCATCCATATATAATACTATAAACGAATAAATGCCTTGTGGCCAAATTTTTGTAAGCATGCATATATTTAGGTTATCTCGATGAGTTTTAACTTCAAACAGAAGATATTTATGCAATTTAAAAATTCGTATTTTTTTTATTCGTATATTTAAAAAGAATATATATATGTTTCCAGAAAGTATGAAAGGAAAAGAAAACGTATGACTTTGACTCAAGGGATAAGGATGAACGTTACAATAATGGATGTTAAATATTAGTTTGTTTTTCTAATTGGTAGTTAAGTTTTTTTTCTTCGAAATGGAGGCGGAAAGCATATTTCACACGCAATTTTGAAATTCTAAATTTAAGTACTCCGTCAGTGAATACATTTATTTATTTTCTTCACATAACTTTGTTAGTGAATACATGTTGAGAATCTATGATATTTGTTGTGATAACTTCAAAGTGATGATATTTTTTTTTCTGTACAGAGAAATCTTTCACTCTCAAAATATCGCTGAGTCCCTTGCATTATCTGCTTGCAACACGTATATGTAGTTTGCATATAGTTATGAACATTTTCATATCCCTTTATTTTTTTTAGGCATCCATTTGTCTGTATTGAGAATCTGAACGCAATTTGTGTGCTAAACCCTTAACACCCGCCTCTCCCCTGTAGGACCTACACAATCTAGCAGATATTTGAATCGCCAATGGCGTCATCATCGGAGATTGTACTTCCAATTGGTACTCAAAAGCATGACCCAGCATGGAAACACTGCCTCATGATCCGTGCTGGTGGCCGGACCATGCTCAAATGCATGTACTGTCAGAAGAAATTCCTGGGCGGAGGCATTCATCGCATCAAAGAACACCTCGCTCGCCACAAAGGAAACGCCTCTTGCTGCCCGAAGGTCCCAATTGAGGTCCAACAAGCAATGCAGCAGAGCTTAGATGGATCTGCAGTCAGAAAGAAGAGAAAAATGAAGCTAGTTGAAGAAGTCAGGAGGCTCAATCCAAATCAACTGGACTCAGGTGAAGTCGATGGTCAGTTGGGTCAACTCCAAGTATATGATGTGTTTGACACAGTTCAGGCTGAGGTGAAAGAGGATGCTTTGGTTAAACCCCCCGAGAGAGGGAGGAAGAGGAAAAGGCATTCTCCTCCTCCTTTGGCTCTTCCTTCTGCTCAACTCCTCTCTCCATGTGGGTTTGATGCTAATTTCGGTAAGTCTTATTCTGGGGTGCCGGTAGATAAGGATCAAGCCTATATGGCAATTTTCAGGTGTTTGTATGAGAGTGGAGCACCTTTAGATATATTGAATTCGAAGTATTTTCAACCGATGATTGATGCTATTGCAGCAGTTGGAGGACTTCAGAAGCCTTCGTATCATGATGCCAATGGCTATTTCTTGAAGAGAATGATTGAGGAGGTGAATGGCACATTGGAAAGGTATAGAGCTACATGGAGTAGGACAGGGTGTTCTATATTGGCTGATGAATGGACCACGGATAATGGAAAGACTTTGATAAATTTTCTGGTGTATTGTCCTGAAGGGACAATGTTTTTGAAATCGGTTGATGCATCTCATATTGTTAATTCAGCTGATACACTCTATGAGTTGCTTAAGCATGTGGTTGAAGAAGTCGGAGTGAAAAATGTTGTTCAAGTAATTACCAACAACACCGAGAGTCATGTCATTGCAGGGAAAAGGCTGAGTGATGCCTTTTCAACTTTGTTTTGGACACCATGTGCTTCTCAGTGTATAGATGGTATGTTGGAGGATATTGGAAAGCTGGAGGCAATAGCTGAAGTTATTGAAAATGCAAAATCTATTACCTCTTTTATTTACAACCATGGGGTAGTTTTGAATATGATGAAGAAGTACACAAATGGGAGAGATTTGTTACTTCCTTGTGAGGCTCGATCAGCAATGAACTTTCTCACACTGAAGAGCATGATTAGCTTGAAAGAAGAGTTGAGAGCCATGGTTGCTTCAGAGGAGTGGATGGAATGCCCATATTCTAAGAAGCCATTAGGGATTGCGATTACTAACCTTATTAATAGTTTATTATTTTGGCCTTCCTGTGCTGCAATTGTAAGAATTACAGAACCACTGGTACAAGTTCTGAAGTTAGTTGATAGTAGTAGTAGGCCGGCAATGGGCTACATTCATGTGGGCATGACTCAAGTGAAAGAAGCGATAAAGAAAGAACTAGTGAAGAAGCAAGACTACACACCTTACTGGGAAATTATTGATTGGAGATGGGATAGACAATTGCCGCGTCCTCTACATTCAGCAGCTTTCTTTCTTAATCCTCGGTTTTTCTACAGCATCCAAGGAGAAGTGTCTAATGAAATCTCATCAGGAATGCTTGATTGTATTGAAAGATTAGTCCCGGAGGTAAAAATCCAAGATAAAATACAAAAGGAATTGCACTTGTATAAGAGTGCAGCTGGGGATTTTGGAAGAAAGATGGCTGTCAGGGCAAGGCATACTTTGCTTCCTGGTAATATTTAGGTAGATGAATATTGATGTTCTTCATTTTGTTTGTCTATTTTTCTAAAATTTACTTTCTTTGTTCGAAACTTATTTTAGCTGAATGGTGGTCTACTTATGGAGGGGCTTGCCCGAATCTGACACGTTTGGCAATACGAATTCTTAGTCAAGCATGCAGTGCAAGGGTTTGTGGACGGAATCACATTCCTTTTGAGCAAATTCACAACCAAAGGATGAACTGTATGGAACATCAACGCCTCAGTGACCTCATATTTGTGCGCTATAACTTGCGGTTGCAACAAAGGTAAGCAAGTTGCTTAATTTCAAAATATTATATTGATCACGGAACTCAAAATTATACCCTTATCATTGTATCTGACAGGCAACTATTGAAGAGCAAACCATTTGATCCTATCTCTGTTGACAACATTGACATTGTCGATGACTGGACTGTGGAGAAAAACGAGATGTTCTCAGCAGATGAAGGCTCCAGTTGGATGGTACTTGACCCACCTGCAACTAATGGAGTAGCTTCACAATATGATGAGGGTGTTGAGACCTTTATCTTGGGTATTATGTCTCCCTTCTATCTTGAGGTTTTAGGTTTTGACAGTTTTCATGCAGAGTGTTGACTAAGTTACATGCACATTGTCAGGCCTTGATGATGAGGTGATCCAACGAGCTGGTCAAGATGCAGAGGAGGATGATGACATCAAAGAGGAGGAAGATAGCCATGATGACACTTCGTTTGCCGGAAATTTCAAGGTTGAAGCATAAAGAAAATGGCTATTTCATGTGAAGGGCATTAAATTTGCAGGAGGTGAGTGTAAAAAGCAAGTCTTAACACAGTACTTTTGAGTCAGTTTAGGGCCTTGTCAGTTCGTAGATTTCTGAATGTAAAATTTAAGTTGAAACAATAAATTTATAAGTTTACAATCATCTTTTGATTGAAAATGCCGCTTGTTTGCGTTAATACTAGTGATACTTCCCCCAATGTATGCTAACACTGTGTAGCCTGTGTTCTTGAGAAAGTCATTTGAGTTCTCAACTATGTGCAATCTCTATAATTAGAACATATATCTTTTTCTATTGTTAAGTGGTATAAGCTTTTCACAAACTGTTTCCCTGCTTTCCTAGGCATGCTGCTGATAAAATTTCTCAATACTTGCACATAGCGCAAACATTATCGTACTCTTGCGTAGATAAAGGATAGGAACATAGACTGGAAACACTAGTTACATTATTGTAGAAAGACTTGTGATGACGAGCTTCCTGAGACTGTATGGCTCGATATTGATGGATATGACATGATGAAATCATCAAAAAATCCATCATACGCTGAGGATGAAGCAGCTAGATAATCCAGAGGCATAACTGGCAGGGGAGCATCACCTTCTAAAAACTGCATCACTTGTCTCATAGTTGGCCTTGCCTCAGGGTCAGGATGGGAACAAAATAATCCCAATTTCAGCACCAACTCCATCTCCTTCAGTACATAATCACTTTCTAAATCTGGATCACTTGCTTCTAGGATCATTCCTTTCTTCCAAAGTTCTAGAACTACATAATCACTTTCTAAATCTGGATCACTTGCTTCTAGGATCATTCCTTTCTTCCAAAGTTCTAGAACCCAATCAACTAAATTTGGCATTGTTCCACGCATAACCATTGGCCTCCTTCCACAAGCCACTTCAAGTAGAAATGCCCCATATGCAAAGGCATCAGTCTTAATAGTAGCCTTACCGGTTTTACTAAGCTCCGGTGCAAGATAACCCAATGTCCCTACAATATGAGTTGTTTGAGGATTACTCCCGTGATCATAGAGCTTCGCTAGGCCAAAATCCCCCAGTTTTCCATTCAAGTCATGATCCAGAAGCACATTTGCAGCTTTGATGTCTCTGTGAATTACCACCTGTTCCCACCCTTCATGAAGATAAAGAAGGCCAGAAGCTACTCCTTTGATTATCTGAAATCTCTGGCTCCAACCAAGCGTTTCCTTCTTTCCTCCAAATAGGAATTTATCGAGGCTTCCATTAGGCATGAACTCATAAACCAAGAGGAGCTCTCCTTTACGCCGACAATAGCCAAGGAGCTGAACTAAGTTACGATGTCTTAGCCTTCCCATGCTCACTATCTCTGCAACAAATTCCTTCATACCTTGTTGCGATTCATGAGAGATTTTCTTCACGGCTATTTCTAGCTTGGATGAAGGAAGAATGCCTTTATAAACTCTACCAAAACCTCCGACACCAAGAAGGTTTTCTTCCTTGAAACCTTTGGTTGCCTTGAACAAATCCTTGTATGTAAATCGGTGAGGTCCATACTCGAGTTCCCAGTCTTCAAGAAGTTCTGCAAATTTCTTCCTCCTCCTCACTATAACAATGCTGACAGCAATGGTGATGAGCAAGAGGATTACTGCAACTAAAGGCAACACAACTGTTAAAATGTTTGGCCCCTTTTGTGTTGTATCTTGACGAGGAGGAACTGATGGGAGCTTTGATATATCAAGATCTTGGGCATTCCCATCCAAACTAAAGCTCCATCCAAGTACATAATGAAATGCGGTGCCATCTTCTGTTGATGCAGAGAAACCCACATACATATCATCCAAGTAAATGGAGGAGAGATCAACCTTCGATGACACCAGAGGTATTTTTGGTTTAGATAAACCAATTGGAGTTATTCTAACATCAAGCTTCATATCCTTTGCACCATAATCTACCCAAACTTGCATTGGATTTCCACTAATCAGATCTAATTTTTTAGACTTATTCTCCTTGTCAAAATAGGCCACTGAAGATGCATTAAGTGAGCGGACTCCATTAATATCAATACCGCTTATTCTCCTTGTCAAAATAGGCCACTGAAGATGCATTAAGTGAGCGGACTCCATTAATATCAATACCGACATGGTTAGCATCGATATCTCCAAGGGGAAGATGCATTAAGTGAGCGGACTCCATTAATATCAATACCGACATGGTTAGCATCGATATCTCCAAGGGCCGCAGCCCTAGAGGTATCGAACTCAATGGCTACAATATGATTGGTTTCCTTTCCACTGTTTGAATCATTGAAAAGGCCAAAGAAAGGGCCCGAGGCTGAACCTAAAGGCTGCTTGGTAGGAGAAATGGCAAAAACCATCCCATGGCCACTGATGTCTTTGTATTGTGGAACTATTGCAAATACAAAAGTTGTTGAGAATGAGGCAGACTTAGCTTTTGAATTCTTGAAAGGAAGTAGAAAGGGATAAAAGGCGCGGCCTACAGCACTCTTGGTGTCATTGGTTAGCTGCACGAGGCCATCAGAGGTGATCTCTGCTACTCCATTGAGGCTCAAGTTTGTTGCACTAAATCCATTGAAGATGAAATCATTCTTGGATGAAGCTACGAGTTGTATAAGAAGGAGAGGAATGAGAAACTTTGTTAGCATAGCTGCAATGGTGCTGGGAAAAATTCAATCAGAAATTGAGCCCACGGGTGTTTTTGAATGGCAAGGAGGTGACGACAAAGCTGTCAGGTCACAGAAACCCGACCCTACAAAGTTAAATATGCAGTTAGCAGTTGTTGAAAGACGAAAGTAATTAATTGGATGGATCATAGGTAAACTTTAGATATCAGTAGGCAGTTTAGGTTTCTAGATGGCGATAAATGTGTTTTATTTCATGAACAGAATCAGCTCAGTAAATGCGATCCATGTGACAGGGGTTTTGCTTTCTGATTGTGTGGTGGATGGATTCTGCACCCCTTAATTTGACCGCAAAGTGAAACAAGGAGTATCACATGACTAGCCTACAACGACACATGAAAAGTCTGTACTATCTTAAGACTTGGTAAAATTTATCCAAACTTCTTATCCTTGAACTTAATTTGAAGAACTTTGGTTTTTGATTGGATCTCTGGACCTTGACTTTTTTTTGAGGGAAAAGACAGCTACAATTGAAGTGGGGGTAACGACCCTGGGCATTGAAGCCTGCCCCAGAATTGACTGGTAACGACCCTGGGCTACTAGGACTAGATTGATTTTTCTGCAGCTCGAGTTGCAGTAGCTCACACAGATCCATTAATTGTTGGATGTATTGTTCATGAAAATGCAATTTTGCCTTTGTGAATGAATAGTGAATAGTCCCACATTGGAAGTTGATATGAAGTTCAAGTGGTTTATATTGGTTCACCTCTTATTGGGCTTTGAATAGTGTTTTGGGTTTTGTGATCCCACTTTGGTTCGCCACGCCCCGCACACACACGCGGTTTTGCTTTTCAAGCTTTTGTTTTTGCATATTTTACACTGTTTTGACTTGGCAATGTAACGGCTGCGGAGATCGTACGGGGGTTACGCGATTGAGGAGAACATGCGCGTAGATCCTATGGGTTTGTAAACCCTATAAATTCAGATGGGATGTAGTTCAGTAAACACAGCACCAAGCAATTCTTCTGCCTCCTAAAAACCGAGCTTTCTCCAAAAAAATTCGACTATTGTGTTACTATTTTTTCTTTTGGGCAACGTTCTTCATCTGAGCAGAAGCTCTGCGACTCTCTTCCGAGTACAGAGGCTGGCCGAACCGGGGGTTTTTACCGCTAGGGGAGAGAAGATCGATTGCGCCAGGGCGATAGGCAGGTCCTCAATCTTCTAGGGCAGTGGAATCACGACTGCTCCCATTCATGCATGATTTTCTAACTCTTTTATTTTCGGATTTATACTAATATTCTTAATTTTTGACAGCAATCTAGAAGATTGAGTTATTATATTGCTGTTAACCCAAATCCGAAATATTTTGATTTAAATTAATTGCTTTTATTTGTTGCCTAATACTTGTTAATTAAAAAAACCTCTGCTACTGTTCATTAAAAAAATTAATTTGCTGCAGATTGTTTACTTTCTTGTTGTTTGTTTGTTAACTAATAATTTAAATTAGTTGCTGTTTATTAAATTTAATTTTTAAAAAAAGTTTCGGTTATTGATCATTACTGTTCATCCGAGAGAAAAATCTATATTGTTCGTTTGTTATTACTATTCATCCAAATAATTAATGCAATTGCTCATTTGTTTATTTATTAGTTTCTGTTGGAGAAAAATTACTGTTCACGAAATAAATTTATTTAACTGTTCATTAAAAAAAATTCTGTTCACAGAAAATTAAATATTGCTTTCATTATTTCTTTTTTAATTAATTGTTAATTGAAAAGGGATTATTGTCCAATTTGTTTATTGTATTAGAATCTCCTGTTCAATTTGTTGATCAAACTCATACGCCTAATTAGATGGTCCAGTATTATTGACAAAATATTTATCGCATTCAGATCTCTAATACCTAGACCAATAAACTTTTAATTGGACTTATGGCTAACTCTGATCATTCCAAAAGTGTCAAACCTGAGAAGTTCATCGGTATTAACTATAAACGGTGGGCTAATCAGATGAGATACTAGCTCACCACCTTAGGTCTTCTATCTGCCATGGAAACTCCTGATTCTTCATCTAGTGAATCTCATCCCTCTAACTCTCTTGTTTATGGTCCCCAACCTGAACCCTCTCCTTCCACTTTTGGTTCTGGTGCTAGCTCCTTTTCTAGCTCTATGAAACCAGAAGAAATCAACTATCATTGTTGTTATAGGATTCTTAGTGCACTTGCGGACAACCTCTATGACATATATTATGAGTTCAAAAATGCTAAAGACCTATGGAATGCTCTTGAAGCATAATACGGCTATGATGATGCCGGAATTCTGCGTTTCACCTCCTCCTCTTTCAATAAGTTCATGATGATTGATGACAAACCCATTAATGAACAAATTCATGAATTCCAATATTTCCTCCGTCACCTCCAACCAAAAGGAAACACATTTACTGATGACTATAAAGTTTCCTGTCTGATTGATAAACTCCCTCCATCATGGTCTAGATTTGCTGGAAATCTCCGACACAAGCAAGGAGATCTAACCTTAACTGAAGTCATCAAGGCTATTCGTATTAAAGACCAGCATAGGTAAAATTCCAAACCCAAGTCCGAAGTAAAAGCTAAAGTCAACTTAGTAGAGGATAAGCCTAAACCTAAGAATTTTAAACCCAAAGGGAAGAAATTCAAGAAAAACCAGCAATCCTTCAACAAATCTTCTTCTAAATCCAATCCCAACTCTTCTGGTCATAAGTCTGATGGAAATTCTACCATGTCTGTAGTAGAACCAACCACCTGGCTCCTAATTGTTTCTTTCGGAAGAAGAAACCGACCAAACCTGCTTCTAAAGGAAATGGATCCACCAAAGTTAATATGATTGAAGAGAATCCAACTTCCTTCAGGTTAGCATCTTCATCTTATCTTGTTAATTCTCTCGCTTCTTTCACTGATTAGTACTTGGATCCGGAGCTAATATTCATGTTTGCAATGATCACTCTTGGTTTTCTACTTACCAGGAATCATGTGGAGGAAACATAAGCCTAGCAGATGACTCCACTAAACAAATAATGGGAAGTGGATGTATAGAGCTCACCATGACCTCTGGGAAAGCTCTGAATCTGCAAGGCATTCATCATGTTCCTTCTCTCCACCGCAACTTGATCAATGAATCTCTTCTCCTTAGAGCTGGATATAGGATTGTAAAAAAAGTCTAATAAATTTGTGATCACCAAGGATAATATATTCATTGAAAAAGATTTTATCTGTAATGGTCTTTTCAAACTCAATGGAATCAATTCCAGTTCTAATAAAATTCCTGAGTGTTCTGTTGCACAAATTGTTGAGTCTTGTGATGTTTCACATGGACGACTTGGACATATCAATTTTCAAACCTTGCAGAGAATGACTAAATTAAAGTTTAAACCTTATTCCTAAATCCTCTCATGATCTCTCATCTAAGTGTGAGATTTGTGTTCAAGGGAAACACACTAAAAAAACCCTTCAAGTTTATAACTAGAAACTCCAAACCTCTCGAATTAATTCATAGTGATGTGTGGGTCTCGAATCGAGTTCTCACCCGAGGGGATAGGAGATAATTTATGACATTTATAGACGATCACTCCAGATATTGTTATACCTATCTTCTCAAAACTAAAAATAAAGTCTTAGATAGGTTTAAGGTGTATAAAACTGAATCTGAGAACCAACTTGACAGGAAGATCAAGATTCTCAGATCTGATCGTGGGGTGGGGGGGAGTATACCTCAAATGATATGATTGAATATTATCAAGAACACGGTATTATTCATGAGGTTACTGCTCCCTATACACCACAGTCTAACGGGGTAATTGAATGAAAGAACATAACCCTAATAGACATGGTAAACTGTATGTTACTTAGTTCAGGAGCACCTGAAAATCTCTGGGATGAAGCTCTTCTTTCTGCTTGCTTCATTCTCAATAGGATCCCCCTTAAACATACTGATATAACTCCTTATGAATATTAGAAGAGGAGAACTCCTTGTCTGAACTTCTTTCGGGTTTGGGGTTGTTTGGCTAAGGTAGTTATTCCCGAACCTAAGAAGAGAAAAATTAGTTCTAAGACTGTTGATGCTGCTTTCATTGGATATGCACTAGATAGCAATGTTAACAGATTTATAGTCGTTAACTCTAAAATCAGTGACATATCCATCAACACTATCATTGAAGCAAGAGATGCAGTCTATTTTAAAAACATATTTCCTTTCAAATCTAAAATCTCAGAATATCCTAGTTCATCTCTTCCTTCTGATCTACCATCTTTCAGTTCTTCTCAGCCTTTTAATATTGAACCTCGAAGAAGTAAAAGATGTAGAATTCAAAAGGACTTTGGAGAAGACTTCTTTATATTTCTTGTTGAAGGTGATCCAAGCTCATTCCAAGAAGCAATGGATTCACCCGAATCTCCTTTCTGGAAAGAAGTCATTGATAATGAGATTAAATCTATCATGAAAAACCATACTTGGATACTTACTGACTTACCTCCAGGTTGTAAACATGTTGGTTGTAAGTGGATATTCAAGAAGAAACTTAGAGCTGATGGCTCCATTGATAAATATAAAACTAAATTAGTAGCTAAAAGCTATACTGAACAAAAAAGCATTGATTACTTTGATACATATTCTCATGTAGCCCGAATCTTAACTATCCGAGTATTATTAGTCTTTGTTGCTATCCATAAGCTGATCATACATCAGATGGATGTCAAGACTGCTTTCTTGAATGGTGATTTAGATGAAGATATCTATATGCACTAACCTGAAGGCTTCATTGTCAAGGGTCAGGAAAACAAAGTCTGCAAACTTGTTAAATATATGTATGGTCTTAAACAAGCTCCTAAATAATGGCACCAGAAATTTAACAGAGTTATTGCACAATATGGTTTCACTGTGAATGAACACGGCAAGTGTGTTTATTCTAAGGTGATAAACGATGACTATGTCATCCTCTGTCTCTATGTTGATGATATCCTTATCTTTGGAATAACTCTTGAATTAATTTTAAATGTTAAGGATTATCTCTCCAAGAACTTTGACATGAAAGACTTAGGTCTTGCCAATATGATACTTGGAATAAAAATCACTAGAGACACTAGAGGAATATCTTTGAGTCTTTCTCATAGTATTGAGAAAATGTTGATCAAATTCAACTATCATAACTCTAAACATGTTTCCACACATTATGATTCTTCTATATCCTTGAAAAAGAATGAAGGTGAACATGTCTCCTAGCTGAATTATTC